GTGACTGGGGTGAACGTGGATGGACGGGGAGCGGGGAGGGGCGGGAGGTGCCCTGGATCTGCTGCCTGCTACACTGCTGTTTGCACACCCAGCCTGGAAACCTGAAGTTCTTGTTATGCCGCTGAGGGTGGTGGTTATGAGCTCTGACCTGTGTCTGGTGGTGCTGGTCGAACAGGCTGGGAGGGGCTGAGAGATCACCGCAGGGCCACAAGGCTGTACTCCAGAGAGAGGTACGTTGACCAGAGGAGCGGTCACCCCTCACCTCCCAGCCCTGTGGGATAACCTGGCCCTAGGCTCACAGCAGTTGTCTGTCCAGTCCAATCCTGCATGCCACTTCGTCCTCCCTCCCAGGGCTCCTGCCTGCAGCCCCAGTGGAACCTGCCAAGCCCTGCTCTTGACACTGGAGGGGGGCGGAGTCAGGCTCAGGCCCTGCCCTGGAGCTTGCAAGCTGACAGGGAGACCCCAAGGCAAAACTCAGTGTGGACAGTGATGGAAAGGAGCACAGGTGGCTAGGAGCCCAGGGGAAGATGGCGACGAGGCGGGAGCCGGATGTGTCTTGGGTGGATGTAGAGTCCCCATTCCCTCTGGAGCCTCTCATGCTGGCTCTGCGGGCGTCACCACCTCCAGGCATCCTTCTCTGATCTCTCTGGGTTCCTGTCGTCACAGCTGCGTTCTTATGGAGCGACACAGTCTACTTCCTCCTCAAGGGCCCTGCCTGTGGGCTGGGGTCCTCCTTGACTCGCTCTGTGCTCTGTTCCTAGCTGATGGCCCAAGAGAGATGGAAAGACAAACACTGTCTTGAGAACTCTGGCCCTTTGGTGGTGAGGGTGAGGGTTCTGGGTTGTCCCTGACCCCTTGGTCTCATTTCTATATAGTGAGACCTCTTAAGCTGGGCTAAGGACAGGTGCAGGGGTTGAGTGAAGGAATGGTGGCTCATCACTCATAAATCCTAGTCCACCTGGAGGCTCTGGAGCTGACTGCCTGAATCGGAATCTCAGTACACCTCTTCCTAGGTGGCCCTGGGCAAATTTCTTAACCCCTCTATGCCTTGGTTTCCTTATCTGTAAAATGGGGATGCTGACAGTATCCGTCTTGCTGGGTTGTTTTGCACAGTGCCAGGTGATTGTTCCACTCATGATACCCCAAGGTGACCTCTGGACTCCAAGACAGACTCCAGGTGCCATCATCCTCAAGTAGTTTCTCTAGGTTAGAGCTGGTTAACCTGCACCTCTCCTGGCAATGGGAACTCGCTCAGACTGCCACCTCCTCTCTGCTCCTCCCAGGCTGGTGGGTTTGCCCGTGGTCGCTGTTCTGCCACAGTGAGTCAGGGCAGTGCTGGACCTCGAACCCAGTGGGCCTCCTGACTCTTGAGCTTAGTCTCTGCTTCTCAGGGTCAGGGTTAGTGTCTGGGGCCAGAGCCCTGTTCTGGGGTGGCAGGGCTAGGCTGAGACAGTTGCTGCTCTGTGGGGAAGAGAGATCTGGGCGGGGAGCCCAGCAGACCTCGCTTCTGTCCCATCGATTCACCTACTTGCCTCGTGACCTTGGGCCTCACTGCCTCCTCCTGAGCTTCAATGCCCTCCTCTGTGGAATGGGTGGTCTTGTCTCTGTCCAGGGCCCTGGCTGGGGGGATCCGATGGGAAGGAGCACCTCGGAGGTCTTTGCTGCAGACCGTGGTGACACCAGGCAATAGCTGTCTTTCTTCCCATGGTGGGCTGTGGCTGGGGTTCTCCAGATATGAAGCCCCCCTCCACTCCTGTCCTGCCTGTCCTTCCGGACCCGAGGGAGGCAGATGCTAAGTCATGGCTCTGACTGGCTCGGGATGCTGGGCTGGGAGATAAGGTAAGGACAGCAGTAGGGAGCGGGGCTAGGCTTCCTGACAGTGGCCTCGCAGGGTTTCCGTGACCTGGGATGATATTCCTGCAGTCTCTGCTCTGGGAAAGCTGCCTTGCAGCTTGGCCCTGAAGTTCCATCTAGACCTGCTCATGTCCGTAGGGAAGTGATGGCTCTCAGTGCGGCCCTGCAAAACACTGGTTTTCCCAGGCAGAGGTGGCAACAGGGATCCACCTCTTAGATACCTAAGAGAGAACGGATAGCCCTTTGCCATTTTCCTCTGCAAGTACTTTGCCTCCACGAGTTATGGAGACCTTACACAGTTCTGCAAGAATAAATCTATCTCCTTTGTGCAGGGTAGGGAACGGAGGCTCAGAGAGGTCGAGTCACTGACCCAAAGTTGCACAGCCAGTAAAAGGGAGCCGGAATTTGAATTCTGTCTTACTCTTACTGACTCTGCTACCCTCTACTGGTCACCTGCAGTAGGACTTCAGTGGCTCTGTTGTGATTGAACTAGCTTGGGAGCACCTGCTGAAGTGGAGACAGGCCCGTGCTATGAGACTGGGACATGTTATTCCACTTCTCTGGCCCTCGGTTTGCTCATCTGTAAAGTGAGCACAGTGCACACCTCTCAGGACCATGGTGAGGACTGAGCGTAGTGCTAGCAGGATGCCTGGCACTGGGAAGGCATCTCTCAGTGTTTACTTCCCCCACCTCCCACTGTAGACCCTCTTGGGGAGCAGGCATTCTCCCTCAGCTCTGTGGGGTGAAGATGCTGATTGGCAAGGAGGAAAGGTCTGGGGTGGGCCCTCTGGGAGCTCTGTGGGTGTCTGCTCGGCTTGGCGTTTGCTTTCTGTGTGCTCTTGACAAGTCACTGCCCCTCTCTGAACTTTCGTTCCTTGTTCATTAAAGGGAATAGCAGTGCCACACTCCTCAGGTGGCTGAGGGTCCGATGAGATAGCCTGAGGATGTGCCCACACGGGGCCTGGCATGTGAACTCCCTTATGCTCCTCGCCTTCTGCACTTACCATATGTGATTTTGGTCTGTGTTTCCGCCCTGCCCCCCCGCCCCACCGCCCTGCTTCGTGACCGTGGGCCCCGAGGGCTGGCTGGGGTTGGCATTGCAGGGCTGCTGGTGCTGAAGAAGGATGTGTTGGTTAGGGAAGGATGTACAAGGCAGGAGAGGGTGGTGGCCCAGGGTCCAACCCCTTGAAGTCCTTCCACGGCATTAGTTTGTTGCAGAAGCTTTGGCAGAAGAGCAGAGCTCCTCAGCCAGGGGAAGGAAAAGGGCCTTCCAGGCAGCGCCTGGGGGAAGCTGGGTTTGGGGAAATCGACTGGCTGTGAGGGGACCCCAGTCTGCAAGGGGAGACAGGTGAATCTCCACGCTGACAGCAAGGTCTCTTGGCTTCTCCGCAGGACATCTGCGAGGACCCCCGCCTCTTTGTGGATGGCATCAGCTCCCATGACCTACACCAGGGCCAGGTGGGCAACTGCTGGTTTGTGGCGGCCTGCTCATCACTCGCCTCCCGAGAGTCGCTGTGGCAGAAGGTGAGGCCTGGGGGTGGGAGGGTCACTAGGAAATGTGAACTCAGCCCGCAGCCCTCACTACCTAACAGGGGAGATGCAGCCTGACTTTGCAGATGAGACTGTGGAAACCTGTGCAGGGCGTGGGGTGAGGGGAAACCGGGGCTCCCAGCATTGGCCTTCCCCTCACCTGCCAGCTTAGGATCCCTGGGCTGTGTAACTCCCAAGGGGATTTGCATGTGTCCCCTCCCCACTGTGGGGGCCCACAGTGTTCCTGGAGCCACTTGGCACAATACATAAGAAATGTGGAAGCTGCCTGAATCATGTGCAGTGTGGCGAGATCACTAACTGGGCCTCAGGAGACCCCTGCCAGTATCGGCTGTGTGACGTGGCCAGTTCTTGTCCTTCTCTGGGCCCTGATTTTCTCACTTGTTCAGTGGGAGTGACCCATGATTCATGGTTCCAAGCTGCTGATGTTCTAGACCAGTGCAAAGGGTTTAGATTGGAAAGGCTAGGCACTAGGCTCTGGTCCTGACGCTTTGCCCTCTTGTGGCAGCACTTGGTAGTGCAGCCCTTAAACCAGACCCCACCATAGCCTCCCTTCTTGTGGAGGAAGGAAGGCTGGAGTGGAAGCTGGACTTGTGCTCTCTAAAAAATTATGGACAGGGATTGCATCTTGGGTTTCCATGCCAGCAAATACAAGTCATTGCCTCTTTCTCATCCCTGCCTTTCCTGCTCTTCCTGTAGGGGCGAGCTTAAGAGAACTGGGCATCTCAGTCTTATAAGCTTAGGTACGAGCCCCAGCCTCACCATTTGGTGGCTTTATAAATAGCCTCAAGTTACTCATCCAAAAAAATCAAATATCAGGGTGATCCCCTTCTCAGGGAGTCGTGAAGGCGAAAGGAGATGCTGTACTTAAAGGACCTTGCTCTGTGTGGTGCTCAGTGAATGATGGCTGGGTTACCTCTGTTATGATAATTAATATTCATAGATAGTAGTGAATATTCTTATGTAAGCAGGACACAAGGAGCAGAGCGAGTATGTTCTTGTCCTCTGAGATGTCCCTCAGCCATCAGAGGGAGCTGTGCCCTTGGCCAAGGCTGGGACTGTGGTGGAGCCCTGATGTCATGTCTTCTGAATGGAATGTGACCCTCAGGGCCACCCCCATTTGGGCATCCCCAGGGCCTGGCCCCTGATGGGTCTGTGGGGTTGGGGTAACTGCAGGCTGTAGGGCCTTTGCAAAGGCCACTGCTGCATCCCGTAGATGCAGGTAGTCATGGAATGTCCTAACTAAGAGGGCCTCAGAGAGCCACACGTGGGATCATTTCACTTGTGGGCTTCAAAGCCCAGAGAGGATCGGGGCCCGGGGCTGTTGCTGTTCTCCGGATGTAGGGCTGTCTTCACCTTTCTGCCTCCAGACTCCAAACCTCTTCTCTGAGCTGAGAACAAGGTCCCCTGCCTCTGAGTCCCACCATCAGCTAGGTCAGGGCTCAGTCTAGGGCTGAGGTGGCTTACAGGAATCCTATAGTGCTAGCGCCATACCTCCCATCCTGACTTATAATTGCCTGTTTTTCTGTTGTCCCCCCTCCGAAGTGAGTTCCTCATGGGCAGAGCTAGGC